ACCCTGTCCAATTTTTGTATGTTCTGCATTTTTTGCTTTTATCATTGGATAACTGAGACGATTTTGCACATGCTCGAAATCCTGCCCACAGGTGGGAGATATTTGAAAAAGCATTGTGAAAAAAAGTAAATGTATAGGCATGGTTTGAAGGTTTGGATACAATTTTTCTTGTCTATTATTTAGTTTCATGGATATGATTATGAAAAATATTATTGAAAAAATAACCATAAAAGAATGTATGATCTAACAAATTTTCATCTAACATGTCATCCTAATGGAAGACGACAAAGAAATAATGGGCACCAGTAGAGAATCATTCACCATTTCAATCTCCCCAAGTTCCCCACATCACCGACACCTCATTAGTCAGTGAGAGGCAAGGGAACCACTTATCAATGCTTGGTGTTCATTTCTTATACGTTCTTTGTTAGGTTTGTGTGCTTTCGGCGGTTGAGATGGTGTCATGCCGAACATAGATATTTTGGCTCCATCACTTCCCTGGCATTGTTATCATGGTCTAGGTCTACCATATAGAGCCAATGGTTCTCATTAGTAGTCGCTTCATACTTTTTATATTCTTCCTCCTCAATGCTGACTAGGCATCATTTTGACAAGTTTTCCATGTGAGACGTTCGACCCGTACATGGCTCATTTAAAAAAAAATCTTGAGGTGTGCAACTATTAAGTCTCTTTAAACGTTATGAGGTTGGCTCTTTAGACCTTATGAAGTTAGTCCAGCTTGTATGGAATTTGTAACTTCATCATCAGGTACATGGGGAAACATCAAGATGGGATCTAAAGATGTCCGCTTCGAAGGACCTTGACATGATCTTTGGTCTTGTTGTTGGTTTTCATTTCAGGTCTTCTGATCTACTGGACTTTATTTCATGAATCAATAGAGCCATCCCGCTGTTCTGAAAAAGGGATTGCCAGCAAACTTATTGCATAACATAATTTTTCCAATTACGTTGATCAATGACCGTGTTGCCAGTTCATATGACTATGTATTTTAGTCACACTTTCTTTCATACGACTCATTAGACATGCGTTGGCTTGACTTAAGCTTGTGAACACATGGATTACACATATGCATTTGGTAGCATGCACATAATTTCACTATATTTTGTGCAAATATCTGCAGCCATTTATATTCTTTGAAAATCTAGTTATTATATTTTTCAGATGGAAGAAACGGATAGTGTTGAGACGATCAAGGAGATGGTACAGGCTGCACTCAGCCATCTCGAATTCTTGATGTGAGAAGAAGCCCAAAAAAGTCCATGAGTCACTGATGAAGATTAAGTGTCTCAAAGAATGCGTAATGGGCACCCCAACTACTGATGCTCCATCATGATCAATATCATGGAGGAGAGCGCGTGGTTTGGTCCAATCTGGTACTACAACATTCTAATAAAAGTGACTACAACTGCAATCACTTGTATGGCCCAAAAAATAGTAATTGTGCCTAGAATTTATGTAAGCTCATAGTATTAGTACTCCCTCCCTTGGGATTTGTGAGGACATCTCCATACATAATTATAGAACTTCAGTTCAGTTTACATCTTTGTGCACCCAACCACTGGTATGAAATCTGCACTTTAACTTTACCATGGTCGGCATTGCAGATTCTTTTTACATATTGATCAGGGTAAAAGGTAATATAATCTCGAAAGGCGATGGTGTGACCCTCGTCATCACGATCATAGTGAGTTGCAACGTGCAGGTCCAGGTAGAGTATCAGGAGCGGCTCCATGTATATCGGAACAGCCACACACTTCCGCGATAGCGGGAGCTCGCCATCGATGACCTCCGCCTTGTTCTCTTCTCCACGAGAAAAGAGCACGACACTCTCACCGTCGTAGAGTTCATGGTGCGCGGTGATCTCGCCATAGACATGGTAGACGGTGCCAGTCCCAGTGGCACCGGCCGGGAGGCGCGAGATCAAGGTTGACGTACACGTTGGCCTATATAGCCTTGTGCAGCGCCATGAAGGTCATGTCTATCTTGCGGCCGTGTCTATGACTTTGTTGCACGCGTACGGGTTCACCGTGAACGAGAAGTTTCCATTGTCGTGATCATCGGTTTCGCCGTTGTCCCCCGGGATCTTGATTTTGACCCAGAAGGTGTCCGTCAGGGCGCTCCTCGACTCGAGTATCAGATTGTTCTGTGGATCGACGATGTCTCCTCTTTGCGAGGACCAGATGTGGCAACCAAAGCCGTCGGTGGCGGCAAAGGACCCCGTGAAGTGGAAACGAGGGCGCACGGTGAAGAGCTCCACCCGGTACTTAGAAAAGGAGTAGGCTAAGTTCAGGTTTTTGCTGTCTCCGTTGTAGTCGATCATGTGACCGGGTGGTGGATAGTCCCTCTCGTCACAGCCATCGCCGTCTCCTCGCTGATGTAGTTGGCCATGTCCTGCGGTCTGTAGAACCCCCCATTGTCGACATCATCATACTCGCTAGCTGCTCCTGCGGTCGTCGTCGTCATCATCATCGCCGCTGTCGTTCACGATGACGCCGTCATTGCCGATGCGATGGAGCCCGCTTCGATCATTGTCGCCCCCGACGCCTTCATCGCCGATGCCATGGTACCCATCGCCGGCATTGTCGTCAACCTCTTTCTGGTTGAACTCGGCAGCAGAGTCTTTCGTCTCTGCCGTTCCTGTTCCGATAGCGGGCTCAGTGGTGCATGTCTGCAGGTCGCCCAAGATGGCCCTCGGGGATGGTCTTTCCGGCGGCCCTCCGGCGGCAGCCATACCGCGCACGCCCTTGCCAAGAGTCGCCGGCGGTGATGAAAACCTAGAGCGATCGATCTGGTTGATTAACTACTTCGGTCTCCTGAGACGGACCTTCTAATTTATCCACGTCAGCCATCAAACCTGGGCCGGGCCTGGTTCTGTGTACAGTTCCTGGCCCAGTCGAGGAGGGAGACACAAACCTGGACCGAAACTGGTTCGGCGCATTAACTTCCCTGGGCCAAGACCACCGTCCGAAGGGGAAAAACGAGAGAATACAGCGAGAACGGCGGCGGCGGCGGCGGCGCCACACTTGCCGGCGATGTACGCGGAAACGGAGCCCGGCGGCGCCGCGGAGCGCACGGCGTTCCGGCGGGCCGAGAAGCAGTACAAGCTCTACAAGCCACCCAGTCGCAAGGGCAGGTCGAAATCCAGGTCTCTCTCTCTCCCTGTCTCTCTGCCATCTCTGTGCGGAAACAGCATAGCAGAACCCTGACTTTTCAAGCGCTACAGGGGCAAGCAAGCCGGTGGTGGTGGGTTTGGCGGCGGCGGGGACCTGTCCGCGGTGGTCGACTTCCACGCGCTGCTTGCTGCCGGAGAAGGCGAGCTGCCCGCCGGGATCCGGAGGTGCGACCGCGCCGGCTTCCACCTGCCCGTGTTCTGCTTCCTCGACCGGCCGGGTAACTCCACAATTTCTCCCAATATTGCTTTGTTTTCGATACTTACGATTATTCTTGATCCAGTTTGGATTTCTGTTCTTACAAATTTGCAAGTCAGGACATTGCATTTGAACAGCGGCAACTTACAAAATTTCTTCCTGATTCTGGTTTTGGGTCATAAAATTATTTCTTACTCCCTCCGTCCCGTAATATAACAACTATATTATGGGACGGAGGGAGTAATTGTTTATTCCAGTGCTTGTGCAATTTTCACATTAATGCTAACTTTGTCCCAAACATGAGCGGCAGAGAATGTCAAATTTTCATATGGAACTCATGATTTCCCTTAACCCCTCCTATGTGGAACATATGCTATGCCTGAACTATTATGTCAGCAAGTTCTTCATCATGAGTATATCTGTATATGTGTATCCAAAAAGGAGGACGAATGGCATCATAACTTTTGAGTAATTAGGGTTTTGCTTGCCTATTTATGTCAACATTTCAGGTTCCAACACTTGATCGTCACACCTAATATCCATCAATCATCGTAATCTCATTATAATGTTCGTTTGTGAAATAGTACTGATAATACCCTTCGCGCCTCAATTTTTGTAGGATTCTATTTCATCCCTGGTGCTCTATCAACTGAGGAACAATGCTATTGGATCAGGGAAAGCTTGAAAACATTCCCACAGCCTCCTAATAGAACTAACTTGACTGCTACATACGGTCCAATTTCTGACTTGTTCATCGCTGCTAAAAACCAAAAGATTTTGGTTGAAGTGCAAAGTTCCAATGGCCAAGAAAGAGTTGAGCAGAATAATGTTGGGGAAAATGCACATCCGGGTAAATTCAAATTTGTGGATGGCTCAGAGATCCAAAAGGAGGAAAGACCTAAGTCGACCATGGCAGCTGCTCTTGTGCGCAAGCTCCGGTGGAGCACCCTTGGCTTGCAATTTGATTGGTCAAAAGTATGTATGTACAATGAATGTGTCTTTATTTTCATTTTTCTTGAATTTAATTCTTTTAGCTTGTGATGGTATTAAAATTTGATGCTTTACATATGAATATGAATAAACCAGCAGGCATAATTTTCTTCAAATTTTTCTGCAGTTGTGACAAACAAGCCCAATTCATTATAATCATATTATGATGATGATGAATTCATAATTCCATGTTAGCGCATAACAAGTTTTATTACTTAAGGAGCTTTGTTTGCTTATGATAGTTCTTCCTTGAAAGCTATTTGTAAGCATGATGATCTCTGAAATCATTATGCAACTAATACCAGTGTGCATACATCATACGCTAATATCATGATGTAACTTATTCTCGTACTCAGCCATGAAACTTGATAGCTGCAATCTCTTGCGCGGTGCTCGCAGTTAATTAAAATCATGTACTTATTGCACTGTAAGATACGCTTTTGGTCGCAACTGCATATTAACCAGTTCCTGTTTCTGTCAGCGTAACTATGATGTATCGCTTCCACACAACAAGATTCCAGATGACCTTGCTACTCTAGCAAAAAAGATGGCTGTTCCAGCAATGCCTTCTGGAGAAGAATTCACTGCAGAAGCGGCCATCGTTAACTATTATGGTCCAAGTATGTAGCTTGTCTTTTCAAACAGTGAATAACCTAACCTCGTAGATATACTGATATACACCATGGCACATTACCTCGAAGTTGCATGCTTGCCTCTCTGTCCATACAACAATAAGCTTTGACTTCTGTAGGCGACATGCTTGGTGGCCATGTTGATGACATGGAAGCAGATTGGACAAAACCTATTGTGAGCATAAGGTACTACGGTTCAGTTGCTTATATAATGATCTTCATTTGAGTGTAGTCTCTTACTTTTTTGTTGTTTTAGTTTGGGTTGCAAGTGTATTTTTCTGCTTGGAGGGAAGACAAGGGATGAAGCTCCAACGCCAATGTTCCTGCGAAGTGGTGATATTGTACTGATGGCTGGGGAAGCACGAGAGCGCTTCCATGGTAATTAATTTATTTTTAATGGGAAAAATTTATGTCTTAATAAGAAAGTAAACTGAAATACCATGGATCATCAGCTTTGTAGAATAACCCATGGCCTCTATTCTACAGGTGTCCCACGGATCTTCACAGAGGGTGACCAGCAAGATATCTCTGGGCTGGTATCAGAACTATCTGATGATGATGACCACTTTATATTGGACTACATTCATAATTCAAGGATAAATATCAACATAAGACAAGTATACTGAAGCTACTTTAGTTATTATTGAAAGTTTGCTCTCCTGCTGCCTCTCGGGCCTACACTAGATGAGCAATTGTTTGATTAACTGTGTCTGGAGTTTGTTTCTGAAATGTTGCTGGAAGATGGGGTAATTTATTGATCGGGGGAAGTGTTCATCTTCTTTCAAAGGATAGGCCTTCCATGGACAGGACATTTTTTATAGTTTCGTACCCTCAGCAAGACCCCAGTTATCATTAAAAAAATCCAGCTAATGCGAGAGAATGTAAATCACTTAATGGCTTACTGCCTGATGTGTGAGAAGTTGTTCATCTTGAGTATTCTTTTCCAGGAAATTTACTTGCCAATATCTCTATCTGTTGATTCGTTGAACAAAAACGTACCTTCTGCGGTGCAGATGGACAAGCTACATGTAAATTGGTCAGATGGGTTCATATTTTTTCAGCCAGTGTCCTATCAAATATAGAAATGTTTGGGCACAATTCAAAGTCACGGAGAAGTCAGCAATTTGACATGTGATCTTCTTGTGTTGGCTCTTAGTCTTACCATAGGTCATTATGTCAATATTCAGTCGTCTCCTTAACTGCCTTCGTTTTCGTCCCTTTGTCGATCGATAATGGCAACTCATTGTCTCCATGGAAAATAAGAAATAAAATTGTATTTGCTTAAACTGGATGTTTTGACAAGGTTGTGTCATCAAGGTTAATTGTATGCATTTGGGGTTAAGTGAATGTATGGCAAGAAGCTGTGTACACTATTTGTAGCCTTTCCGGTGGCAAAATGCAGATAATATAAGTAGAACAGCTGTAGTCTTTTCACTTAGCAAAGTGCAGATTACATGAAGTAAAGCTGGATGGCAATTATATGCTTCTTGTATGGGCAGAATACAGCCATCGGCTATAGTAGAGGGAGAAGACTGGATGGGATGTAAATCTCTCATCTCATCAAACATGTGAACTATTTCTCAACAATCTCTTGGATCCGCTCCGGAGTCAAGATTGACGCACTGGTATCGAAATCAGCACTCTCCAACTGCTTGCGCAACTGCATTGGCAATAATGTCAAGGTAAGCGTTATGCATTGCTTCTTCTGCTGATAAACGGTCAAAACAAAACTCTGGTTGTGTATGTTTTACTGAAAGGGGACGAGCATAGAGAACATACAGTCTCAAGTATGACAGATTGGCTCTCGGGGCTGTATTTTCTAATTTGAACCAACATCTCCAGTTGCTGCAACAGCAATTAAAAGGATCTAATTACCATCTTCAATACAGTTAAGATGGATGTTTTGAAGAAGGCACTATAAAAACATCTTTGCCTCACCTGTTGTTGCAATTCCTGTTGAGTGTGCATTTTCTCGGCAAACTCTAGAGGCTCAAGCTCGGCCTCGTCAATAGCCATCTCTTCTCTATCAAATTAAATGGGGAAATAATCAGAACATGGCTTTTAGACAATAGTTCAGGTCAAGTTTGTAAACCACAAACTATTCTTGCCAGAGAGCAGAGGGCAGGTAACTGTGGCTTTATATTCATTTTACTTGTTCCGTTTTATAGCTGGTGGATTAACTGATACAGCTCTTTTCCTTGAAAATAAATAAATAAAAGAACACACCACTACACAGATCAACGTGGACTATATTCAAACTTGCACTACCATATAAGTTGTTTTAATTAGAAAAATTAATATGTCACTGAATTATGTAAAGGCCATGCAACATTGCAACTAATATATGAATCTATGGGGTGTAACATACACAAATGAGATCAGAAAACTGCTAAATCCAAAATAGTGAATAAATAAATTAAGGTTTACTGGCAGGTCTCTTAGCCCACTACTACCTCCGTCCGGCTTTATTAGGCCCCCTCTTATTTTGGGCTAAAGTTTGACAATAAATTTCACTAATAAATTGTATAATATGTGTCACAAAAAACTATACTATGAGAAAGCTCTTTCAAATACAAAGCTAACAATATGCTTTTTGTATCATATAATTTATATTTTATTAGTTTGATAGATGATCAAAGTTTGACCCAAAATATACAAGAAAAAAAATCAGTAGGCTCTCACTTGGCAACAAACTGGTAGAATTTAATCATCAAATCCATGTCATTCTCATACACGACGTTCACCTTTCCCAGGCAGCTAATACCAAAACCTGGATCTGATGTTCAGAAATTACATGTCAGCGTAAGTCATGCATGAAACATTACTGTATATATCAAGTCAAAGAAAATCATGATTCATTCAGAACCCTTCTATAAGAAAAATAAATTAGCAATCTTACTTAGCGTACAAGTGACAAGTAGAAATTTGATTTTTTTTTTACATTTACAAAGCATTTTATAGACTTGACGCAACAAGGACTCCATGGCAGACGGCGAATTGATTCCAAAGCGCTGAAGATTACAACATGATGCATTTGGACACAGTTGAAGCAGAAACTACAAACATTTGGTGATGTCTTTGCGTTGGTCAGCTATGAGCAATTGGTTGTTCAGATTTTTGACTTGCATCCAAGATCACTACACTGTTGCTGCTGTGGACTCATAGTTTTCTACCAGACCAAACTCACGATCGATTTATCACATAACAAAAGATTGATTTCCTTTATTATTCAGCACAAATATTTTTCAATCGGCATCGTGTATTCTACGTACCTGAAGCTGCATTGTGTTGCAACCCATCATATGAAGAGAGATTTAATTTAAGAAGTAAAATTCCTAGTAAATGAATACACTGATCATGGCTGTAAGGCAGTGGCAGCAACAGTGGGCTATTGGCTAAACAGTAACTCCATGTATGGCACATGTACTCACTGTCAATACCTAGCATTTGACAGGAAGTATGGACCTCTTCAATAAACTAAATTTCCATACATCAGGATATGTTACATAGCTTAACAAATATGCTACTCCCTCCGATTCATATTAATTGTCACTCACTTAGTACAAGGTACAAAGTTGTACTAAGTGAGCGACAATTAATATGGATCGGCGGGAGTACCAATCGTTGAAATCTTTCTAGTTTCTACATGACTAAATTCTGCATTTGGGCGTCACTACTAACATAGACATGGTAGGCCATTGTCAATTTGAACCTCACATCTGCACAAGAATCGCTGGAGCGAAGCAAGCCAGAAAAGACATGGAGCTAAGAATGCAGTTAGGAACATATACCGATCCCCATCTCGCGAAGGATCTCCTCTTGCACCTCGGTGGTCACCGCCACGGCCTCCTGTGGAACAAGAAGAACACACGGATACTGTAAGAGGGAGGCTCCACACGAACTAAACCATCTACCATCCAATCCAAGTCGGTCACATTTCAAGAATTGTCCAAACTGAATGAAATTACAGAGGACCGAGTCAATTCACTTCAATTGCATCTGCACAAATTACAGATACTACTACTGCTGCTAGCAAAGGAATGCGGGGGAAAGAACAGAGAAAGATTTCCAACCTGCTTGTCGCTGACGGCGTCGGCGATTCGGTCCTTGAACTCTGGAACTCCGCGGCAAAGACCACGATTAGGAAGGGGAGGAAAGTGACGGGGGATCAGTGTTGAAGGAAAATAAGTCGGCGGGATGGGATGGGAGACCTGGGAGCGAGGTGAGGAAGGAGAAGCGGGAGAAGAGGTGGAGCAGCTGCTCCCTCGTCATCATGCTCCCGCCGCCGGCCGCCGTCGCCATGGCAGCTCCCCACACTCTCTCCTCGAGTCCTACGGTCCTACCAACCTTTGTGTGGCTCGTGCTGCTCCTCCTGAGCGAATCCGGATCTCTTATGGGCCTGGGCCATGCCGGGCCGTACAGGGCTCATCTAGTTCCGCTCTAAGTTTCTCAATCTGAACAAAAATGAAACAAGTTTCCTGAAAAAACAAACGAGATCTCACTAACTTGAGGAATTCAGACCCAATTTCTCCATACCTGTTTTTGCTAGTAGCAGAGGGCCCTTCGTGCCTTTTAAAAACCCAAGATGAATCACCTCACCTCAGTGGATTTCAAGTAGCTCTGTCGGCTCCATCGATAAGCCACTTGCTTTTTGCAGATGATAGCCTGCTGTTTGTTAAAGCCAGTTCTTTTGAAGCAAATGAGTTGTCTTCCTTGATGGATAATTATTGCAATGCCTCGGGCCAGAGAATAAACTTATCAAAATCCTCGGTGTTTTTCAGTAAGGGCTGCCCAACTTCTCTCAAAATCGAGGTAAAGAATGCAGTGAATATTACAAATGAATCGCTTACAGATAGATATCTGGGAATGCCATCTGATGTGGGTAATTGCAAGAATGGAGCTTTCAAATTTTTAAAAGACAGAGTCTGGAACAAGGTAAAAGGGTGGACGGAGAAGCTTCCGTCAGCGGGAGGCAAAGAAGTTTTGATTAAATCTGTTGCACAGGCGGTCACTGCATATTCCATGTCTTACTTCAAACTTCCCCGTGGCCTTTGTGAGCACATTAACTCATTGATCGGAAAATTTTGGTGGGGCAGCAAAGAAGGGCCGAGGAAGCCAAGTTGGGTCTCCTGGAGTACGATGACTAGGCCGAAATATTGTGGAGGGCTTGGATTTCATGCCATAGAGCTTTTCAATCTAGCCCTCCTAGCCAGACAGGCGTGGAGAATCTTAACGGGTCCAGTCTCCCTCAGCGCTCGAGTACTGAAGGCCAAGTACCACCTTGGTGTTGATTTTTTTAACTCTAAGTTGGGCTCGGCTCCTTCACAAATCTGGCAGGCCACTATGGATGGCCTGGATGTTCGCACCCAAGGGCTGATCAGGCGCATCGGTGATGGACTCACCAGACACATATGGGAACGGAACTAGCTGCTGAGACTAGCCAACATGAGACCTATATTAAGCAGGGTTGCAGACCCACCTCAGTGGGTCGGTCAACTGATTCTGTCGAGTGCGGATTGGGACCGAGTTGTTGTCTCGAAGATCTTTCTACCAACGGATGTGCGGGCAATCATGTCCATACCCTTGTGCACTAGACACATTGATGAGTTTCGTCCTAGGTACATAAAAAGAACATAGCTTCCTCTGTTCGATCTGCCTACCGCATGCTTGTTGACACCAAAATGAGGAGAGAAGCATGGCTTGAGGGTCGTGCTAATTCTTTAGACACATGCAGAGAAACCAAGGCTTGGGAGAATCTATGGAAAGTTGATGTTCCGTCCAAAGTAAAAATCTTCTTATGGAGTCTCGCCCAACAGTCAATTCCCACAGCGGATGTGCTAAACCATCGGAATATGTTGACCAGCACAACGTGCAGTTTATGCGGGGCTGAAGATTCATGTCAACACTCTTTGCTTCATTGCACAGTAGCTCGGTATGATTGGGCGCTACTGAAGGAAATATGCCCTGGAGACAATAATAAAGTTGTTATTTTATATTTCCTTATTCATGATAAAGTTTTATTATTAATGCTAGAATTGTATTAATCGGAAACTTAAATACATGTGTGAATACATAAACAAATACCGTGTCCCTAGTAAGCCTCTACTAGACTAGCTCGTTGATCAAAGATGGTTAAGGTTTCCTAACCATAGACATGTGTTGTCATTTGATAATGGGATCACATCATTAGGAGAATGATGTGATGGACAAGACCATCCGTTAGCTTAGCATATTGATCGTTCAGTTTATCGCTATTGCTTTCTTCATGTCAAATACATATTCCTTTGGCTATGAGATTTTGCAACTCCCGGACACCGGAGGAATACCTTGTGTGCTATCAAACGTCAATGTAACTGGATGATCATAAAGATGCTCTACAGGTATCTCCGAAGGTGTTTATTGAGTTGGCATAGATCGATATTAGGATTTGTCACTCCGTGTATCGGAGAGGTATCTCTGGGCCCTCTCGGTAATACACATCATAAGCTTGCAAGTAAATGACTAAGGAGTTAGTCACGAGGTGATGTATTACGGAACGAGTAAAAAGACTTGCTGGTAACGAGATTGAACTAGGTATAGAGATACCGACGATCGAATCGTGGGCAAGTAACATACCGATAGAAAAGGGGAATTACGTATGTTGTCATAACAGTTCGACCGATAAAGATCTTCGTAGAATATGTAGGAGCCAATATGGGCATCTAGTTTCCGCTATTGGTTATTGACCGGAGAGGAGTCTCGGTCATGTCTACATAGTTCTCGAACCCGTAGGGTCCGCAAGCTTAACGTTCGTTGACGATATAGTATTATATGAGTTATGTGATTTGGTGACCGGATGTTGTTTGGAGTCCCGGATGAGATCAAGGACATGACGAGGAGTCTCGAAATGGTCGAGAGGTAAATATTGATATATAGGACGATGGTATTTGGACACCGGAAGTGATTCGGAGGGTACCGGGTACTTATCGAGTCACCGAAAAGGAGTTTCGGGCACCCCCGGCAAAGATATGGGCCTTATGGGCCAAGAGAGGGAACACACTAGCCCACAAGGGGCTGGTGCGCCCCTATAGTGGCCGACCCTATGAGCAGGAGAAGGAAAGAGGGGAGGGAAAGGAAAGTGTGGAGTAGGACTCCCCCTTCTTTCCCTCCCCCCCTCTTTCCTTCCCCCTTGTTGATACAAGGAAGGGGGCGTAGGGCAAGGCAGCAGCCCTAGGGCTGCCTCCATGTCTCTTGGGGCGCCCTAGGGGCTGCCTCCTCCCCTCCCACCTATATATACATGGGTAGGGAGTGCAACACAAAGAACACAATATTGTCTTAGCCATGTGCGGCGCCCCGTCCATCGTTTACTCCCTCGGTCATATTTTCGTAGTGCTTAGTCGAAACCCCGCGGAGATCACATCACCGTCACCATCACCACACCGTCGTGCTACCGGAACTCATCTACTACTTCGACCATCTTGCTGGATCAAGAAGGCGAGGACGTCACCGAGATGAACGTGTGCTGAACACGGAGGTGCCGTACGTTCGGTACTTGATCGGTTGGATCGCGAAGAAGTTTATGCATAGATGATATGCACGAGTAGAACACAAAGAGTTGTGGGCGGTAATAGTCATACTTCTTACCACCAATGCCTTATTTTGATTCGGCGGTATTGTGGGATGAAGCGACCCGAACCAACCTTACATGTCCACGCACATGATACCGGTTCCACCGACAGGCGTGCAACTAGTTTTGCATAAAGGTGGCTCGCAGGTGTATGTTTCTCCTACTTTAGTTGAATCGAATTTGACTATGGACGGTCCTTGAAGAAGGTTAAAACAACAAACTTGGTGAAACACTGTTGTGGTTTTATGCGTAGGTAAGAATGGTTCTTGCTAGAAGCCCATAGCAGCCACGTAAAACTTGCAACAACAAAGTAGAGGATGTCTAACTTGTTTTTGCAGGGCATGTTGTGGTGTGGTATGGTCAAGACATGATGTGATAAATGTTATTGTATGAGATGATCATGTTTTGTAAGTTATCGACAACCGGCAGGAGCCTTATGGTTGTCTCTTTATTGTATGAAATGCAAACGTCATGTAATTGCTTTACTTTATCACTATGCATCAGCGATAGTTGTAGAAGCAATAGTTGGCGAGACGACCACGACGCTATGATGGATATCAAGGTGTCGAGCCAGTGATGATGGAGATCATGACGATGCTTTGGAGATGGAGATAAAAAACACAAGATGATGATGGCCATATCATGTCACATATTTTGATTGTATGTGATGTTTATCTTTTATGCATCTTATTTTGCTTAGAACGACAGTAGCATTATAAGATGATCCCTTCACTAAATTTCAAGATATAAGTGTTCTCTCTGAGTATGCAGCATTGCGAAAGTTCATCGTTTCGAGACACTACGTGATGATCGGGTGTGATAGACTCTACGTTCACATACAACGGGTGTAAGCCAGATTTACACACGCGGAATACTTGGGTTAAACTTGATGAGCCTAGCATGTACAAACATGGTCTCGGAACACTAGAGACCGAAAGGCCGAACATGAGTCATATAGTAGATATGATCAACATGGAGATGGTTCACCATTGATGACTACCCCATCTCACGTGATGATCGAAAATGGGTTAGTTGATTTGGATCATGTATAACTTAGGCAACTTGAGGGATGTTGATTTAAGTGGGACGTAATTTGATTAATTGAACTTAATTTATCATGAACTTAGTCTTAATAGTTTTGCATATATATGTTGTAGATTGATTGCGGCTTGAACTACGTCGGTATTTCCCCAAAGAGGAAGGGGTAATGCAGCACAACAACGGTAGGTATTTCCCTCGGTGATGAGACCAAGGTTATCGAACCAGTAGGAGAATCACGCAACACTACGTAAACAGCACCTGCAGACAAAGAACAAATACTTGCAACCCGACATGTTAAAGGTGTTGTCAATCCCTTTTGGGTAACGGTGTCAGAAATTGTCGAGTTGACGGGATAAAAACATGATAGATTGGATAAATAGATCTCGAATAAATTCAAAATAAAATAAAGTGCAGCAAGGTATTTTTGGGTTTTTGGAAATATAAATCTGAAAATAAAAGCGAATAAAAATAGATCTCAAAGGCAAATATAATAAAGAAGAGACCCGGGGGGCGTAGATTTCACTAGTGGCTTCTCTCGAGAAGATAGCATACAGTGGGTAAACAAATTACCGTTGACAATTGATAGAACTTCAAATAATTATGACGATATCCAGGCAATGATCATTATATAGGCATCATGTCCAAGATTAGTAGA